AAGGGGCTTGGGAAGGGCACGAGTAGACAGGATCTCACAACTACCAAGAGAGTACATAGTGTGTGCCCAGAATTTGGCTTCATTTGAGTCCAATAAAAATTCTAATATTAAGAGACTGAGCATTGTGATGCACACCTGTAATTGCAGTGCTTGAGAGGCTGAAGACAGGAGAATCACTACGAGTTAGATCTACATAGTGACACCCTGTAGACCCTGTACTAAATACATGAAATAAAAAATTCTAATAAAAAAAAATGTGTGTGTGTGTGTGTGGCCAGCTCAGCCCACCAGGGGGCGGGGCTGGCTGGCATGAGGTGCTGGGGGATCGAACCGCAGTCCCTGTGCTTTGCTAAGCTTGTTCTAAGTAGGTGCTTTAGACCACTGAGCCATCTCACCAGCCCTGCAGCCTTTCTTTGTTGTTTTCCTTCTGCTCCATGCTCAGCACTGTGGCAACTTCCAGACTCCTCAGGGCCCAAGCTGTGTGGTCCAGCAGGTTCATGTGCTGGTCATAAAGTTGCTTGATTACAGTGGCCTACCAAATCCCCAAGCCCCTTTCTTGTCTTTTTTTTTTTTTTTTTTTTTTTTTTTTTTTTAGCACATGCTTTTTACAGAGTTAGGATCCGTAAGGAATGAGTTGTCTAGCCTGGCCCTGCATTATGATGCATATTTCAGTGATGGGCCACATGCCGCATGGTGGTCCTGTGGGATCATGTGGCCTAGTGATACTACTGAGGCACGACTCCACTGTGTTTTCTGAGAGACACAGGTTTTATGATTGCTCCTTTTCATTTCTTCATCTATTCAACTTGGTCTCAATTGTTGAGCCTCACCAGAAAAGAAAGATCATTCAAATAAGGGTGATTTCAGTAAAGTCAGAGTAGATCACTTCAAGGACAGCCATGGCCTTATGACACAGTGGTGGGGAAAGCACTTAAAGTAGCTGCTCAGTTCCAAAGGCAATGTTAATGATTTCTGCCAGCAGCTAGTGATGTTACACAAAAGCAGAAGTCACTGAGGCTACTTTTGTCTTTCATGTTTTCCAAAACCCTGTGTATGTGTGGTGGTTTATAATTTAATTTTAATTAGTATATGCTCAGGGTACATAATGATTACTTCCCTTGTGAGGAGTTGGGCTGTGTGTGTCACAGTGCACTGCTGTCTGTGTATGAAATGACAGAGCATTGTAAGCTACCTGTGTGGTGCTAGAAAAGAGAAGTAGGCTTAGTCTGTGAAAACAGAAATTACTGTTCTGCTAAAGCTGAAGTTAAAAGTGTACAAGAAGAGAACATTTATCCAAAAATAAGTTAAAAATGTACAAGAAGAGAACAAGTATTTATCCAAAAATATATAAGCATGTGTGTGGTGGTGGGTCACTTGTTTGTAGGACAGAGTTTCACTCAGGTGCACAGGCTAGCCTCGAGCTCTCTTCTCTTTTTTTTTTTTTT